TGCCTTGCATGCATGAGGCCCTGGGTTCGATTCCTCAGCACCACATAAGCAAAAAGAAAAAAGCCGGAAGTCGCGCTGTGGCTCAAGTGGTAGAGAGCTAGCCTTGAGCTGAAGAGATGAGGGACAGTGCCCAGACCCAGAGTTCAGGCCCCACAACCAGACCCAAAAAAAAGAATATATAACAGAGCTGGGCACCAGTGGCTCATGCCTGTAATCCTAGCTACTCAGGAGGCTGAGATCCGAGGATCGAGTTCAAAGCCAGCCCAGGCAGGAAAGTCTGTGAGACTCTTATCTCCAATTAACCACCAGAAAACCGGAAGTGGCATTGGGGCTTAATGGTAGAGCACTCACCTTAAGCTGAACATCTGAGGGACAACACACAGGCCCAGAGTTTAAGCCCCAGGACTGACCAAAAAAAAAAAAAAAAAAAAGACATGATGTGCCATGTTTTCCCTTATCTCCACAAGACACAGTTGTTTTTGCTCAATATCACATAAAGAAATTTCCAGGTTATAAAAGACACTCTGGTACAAATTATCTCCTTGATGATACCATATCAGTGTCCTTCAGGTCACACATGACTAACTAGAGGGTCTTTCATAGATCAGAAATCTTCAGTGTGAGGAAAGGAGAAGGTGGGGGCAATGAGAACCATAGCCTTGTCTCAACAAAAGGCCTGGCAAGAATGGGGACTAGAAGGGTGTCTTTGAACTTCCTGAGGAAGAAGGGAGTACAGCCCCTCTGCATGTTCACAGTGGAGTAACCTAGCAGATGTGAGAAGGGAAGAAGGCTAGAGGGAGGGGTCCTCTGATTCCATGAATGTGAGAGATTAGGAAGCAAATTCTTTTCCACATGCTTCTCTCTTGAGTCTAGCAGGCAGTGTTCTGATCAACACACAGACTGCTTACCTCAATACCAAACAAACTTCCAGAAAAGGGGCGGTCGACAAAGCGGGGCTTATAAGTAAGCACCGTGGTGCCTTTCAGAATAATGGCGTTGGTATCAAAGCAGGACACATCTTCAACAACCACAAACTCTGTACCTAGAAAGGATAGCATGGTCAATCAAGGTCAAGCTTGAAGGCTGAAAAACAGCAGGCAGCCACAAGGAAAGGAACATAAACTCACTACGTGAGAACACTGGCCAGACAGAGATTTGGTCTCCAGGATGGCTGTCAACATTCTGCTCACTACCATCTTGTACAAACCTATATTTGGCAAGGTGCAGCTGAGCCATCAGAACACTGTCCTGGAAGGAAAGACTGGGATGTAGTCTCCCTTGTTAACATGCACATTTAAGATAGAGGGAGAAATTGCATTTTCCTGAGAGGCCTAACAGACACTTTGCCAAAGGATAGTTTAAATTGACTCAGATAACAACCTTTGGTCAAGCCACTTAAAGCATTACAACAGCTTCTCTGTAGCTGATCAAGTTGTCAAAAAGAATGTAGATCAGCTTGTGTCAAGATTTTTGACATTTGTAGTACAGCCAGCTTTCAACTCATTTGTTAAGCAGAAAGGTCAAACTCTGGATTACAATGTTTTCATCAAAAAACTATGTAAGGAACAAGCTTTTGTAACTGAATCCATTTAAAATTTATCCTGTTAGCCAGCTTTGTGAGAACAACTGGGAAGTTGTAAATATCTAAACACATGGAGATGCTTCAGAAGAACCTAATTATTAATAAAAGGAAAAAATTCTTTTTTGGAAAGAACAGTCCATTCACTTATTTGACTATTCACTTATTTATTTTCAGAAGTAAGACTTTTCACATACTAAATTTGTAAAGCATGTCTGTGGGAATCCTATAATAGATTAAACTAAAAAATTAAGCCAGACTTTACATTAGGAAAAAAGATCCTCATCCAGGCAGTTGCTCATACTGGGTAACTGCACCAGGGGCAAGACTCCCCACAGTCTTCAATGGGTCTGGAAGCCCATACACAAAAATGGAGATCAAGAATCTTGCCGGGCACCAGTGGTTTACATCTATAATCCTAGTTTCTCAGGAGGCTGAGAACTGCAGTTCAAACCAGCCTGGGCAAGAAAGTCCATGAGACTCTTAGCTCCAATCAAACACCAGAAAACCGGAAGTGGTATTGTGGCTCAAGTGGTAGAGCACTCGCCTTGAACTGAAGAGCTCCGGGACAGGACAGCACCCAGGCCCAGAGTTCAAGCCCCATGACTGACCAAAAAACAAGAAACTTGAAACTTGTTGGTCTGTAAAAGATGCAAATGAGTGAGTCTTCTCATACACAAGTAAGAGGAACCAAGAAATCATCCTGTAAGACAGGCATGGAGCTAACACCCAAACTAAACATCCATGAATCACAGATAATCACCTGTTACATTGACCTTGACCTCCAGATGCCTCTCACTGGACACAGTAAGGGAAGACCGCTTAGTAACTACTCCACTCTTAACAGTTTTGGGAACTACAACGGATTCGCTGCTGGAGTTTCGATGCCGAGAAGGAGTAACATTTTGTTTCTTAATGTCACTGGGTGTGTAGAGAAAATCATGGACCAACAATAGCCAGTCAAATATGAGAAAAACACGGAGATTGTTGAGAACTACTGTGAAACAGGAGGAATCCTTTGTAGATCTACAAGAAGACAGAGAGAAATAAAAATAAGCACAGTACTTCAATAGCTTGCAAAAATATTCCTCAGTTTGGGCAGGTAGTATTCCAAGGTATTGTCGGTTTGGGATTTATTTCCTTTTCTTTTGTTAAGACAAGTTATCTGAGGCTAACCTCAAACTCCTGAGCTCAAGCAATCCTCCTGCCTCAGTCTTTTGACTAGCTGGGACTATAGACACATATCACCATGCCTGCCTCTATTCCAGTATTTCTTAAACTGACAGTTCAAGCATCAATAAACTCTGAACACTGGTTTAAGAACACATATAGGAGTCTTTACTGTCATTTCCTGCATAGGGAATGTTCTTCTCTTTTTGCCCTTATCTCCCTAATTTATCCTTTTTTCCTAAAATAAATCCTTACTAAAATATTAAAAACCAACATATGTAGTGTATGCCTTCTTGAAGCTAACATTATTTTCAATCAAGAAGTATATTAGAAGAAAGCAGTCCAGCATAGCCCAGTGATTTCAACTAACATGACTGCCCCCAAGAGACACCTGGCAGCATCTGCAGACATTTCTAATTGTAAAGATGAGGGGCATGGGCTGGGAAGGTAGCTCAGTGGTAGAGTGCTTGCCTTGCAATGCATGAGGCCCTAGGTTCGATTCCCCAGCACCACATAAGAAAAAAGAAAAAAGCCGGAAGTGGCACTGTGGCTCAAGTGGTAGAGTGCTAGCCTTGAGCTGAAGAGCTGAGGGACAGCACCCAGGCCCAGAGTTCAGGCC